CACCCTATTTTAGAGTGAATGAATATTGGGGCTCTAAACCAATAGTGATTTATCCAAGAAAAATATTGTGATCGATAATTTGGCTTGGAAAAGGTGCTACCATAGTATAGTACCATATGTGTTGGTACGTGACCACACGATGCATCACTAAGTATTATAATGCACAGGTTCTGTAGTGGCTCTTTTACAGTGGATTTGGATAACGATGATTGTACACTTCTATGAGCTGTGTTCACCTTTAGACGGGGAAAAAGATAGGAGAAAAAAAATGAGATATAATTAAAAAAAAAAATAAGAAAAATAAGAATGTTTAATTTTTTTGTAATAAAATAAAAGGTGTATAAAAATTATTGCTCTGACAAAGAAGCTGGTGATACATTTATGCACGTACTGTATATACTATACTATGTTGTGGTCATTGATTGATGAATGTACGGCATTGACTCCTACATGCATGGATCCCAAACGTGTACGGTTCACTTTCATTAAAATGTATACAATTCCAATCATATAGAAATTCTTTCAATATTATTTATAACCAAAAGAAATGAAACATAATTTGGTGAATGTGATTCGTTAGATTCAAAATTACACCTAAAGTAGTCATAGAAAGTCATGAATTTTTAATTGTTACACCTAAATCATTGACCAAATCTTAAACCTTCATTTCTGCTACCATTGATCTCCATCATAACCCACATTTACATTAAATAAAAAAATCTTCTAAATGAAGAGAGATAAATATATATATAACATCCTAAACCACAATCAGTGTGTGTGTTTATCACCTTCCTCTCTGAGTCATGCATAGCAATAGCATCAAGCATCAAACCACTTCATACACTCACATGGTACGGTCACGTGAAAAAGGAAAGGAGGGGCCTAAGGCTAAGAAGAACAATGGGTCATTAATTCAAAATCTAGTTATTTTTTACTCAATCAATGACATTGGCTGCCATGGGAGATGGAACAAAAGTTAAGAAAATATTAACATGAAAATAATTTAAATTTTAAAATTAAATTCGAAATTATAAAACCAAACTAAGTCTTAAACACATGTTAAAATAGACAAAATTTTAATTTCACCTAAACAGATTTTTCCTCGCTTGACAGTGAATTATGAACGTAAAGGACTATAAATAAAGTGCGACAACTACAGGACAGTTGCACGATAGGTGAAGTGAAGGCAACTTTTTTTCTTATGCTTTTTCTTTTTCTGAAGACAAAAGAGGACAGAAGACCATTGCATGCTCTGCGTGTAGCAATACCGAAGAATTTTGCCACTCCCCACTCCGGTATTAAAACTAATGTAAATACCTTAATTTTATGTATTAATCGGGAAGGATTTTTTTTTCCCCTTAGAGTCATAGTTCGAATCATGATTTTTAGTAACGATTTATTTGTTTAGTTGATAATAAATATTTTTTAGAATGTTTATAAATGTTACTTGTTAATCAAATATTTGTACGACATTAATTAAATGAATTAAGGTAAACTAATATTTACTGCAGGAAAACATTTTTTTTTTATGAATGTTAGATTTTCACCTATTTCATCACTCTATAAGGACAATTTCATGAAAAAATTGTATAAAAATATTCCCAAAAAATAATGTTTCATTTATGTGCATCATTCTTTTCTTTATTGAATAGGGAAGGAGATCATCACTTTAAATTATACTAGGGATGAAAACTAGAGAATGCTCTTCCTGAAGACTCTTGTATGATATTCATGTTAAAGGTAGGAGGCTTGATGAAACTAGTGGAAGAGATGATATTTGTTTCTCTTCAACTAGCTTTAATGTATTTTCAATCTTCTTCCATAAACTTGAAACCTTCAAATAAAATTGAAAATGGTGGAGGAGAGAGAGGTTGAGGTGCACCACTTCAAAGTGAAGATAAGCAAGAGAGAGAAAATTTGTCACAAAGAGAAATTCTTTGATAAAAATTTATAAGGAGAAGTTTTCTCAAAGACAAAAAAGCTAACACTTTTGGAATATAAATCTCAATATTATTTCTCACAAATGTTCAAAAGTGTTCGACCATATGGAGGGAACAAGTATATGTAAGATTTGGTAGCTTGTGATATAAATTAAGTTAACCTAGATTAAGTTAACTTGTACTTAAAACTACTAATCCTAGTTACAATTTGAATTTCGAATATTCCTCCTAATTACTTTTCTATTTCTTTTTTTTACACTTTTTGTTTTTCTTTCTTTTGGAGCTATTTTATGACTATTTTTCTTTTGTTCTAGTAGTTGTAATATTGTCACAAAATATTCCAAAATCAAGAACACAAAATTGTATAAAGTAAAATTAGAAGTAGAAAAACACAAAAGAATTTCAAAAATTGGTGAAAATAATGATACTACTTTTGTTTTCACTTAGGCCTTTGATTTTCAAACTTTTTGAACTTCAAAGAGATAGTTCGAATGTAATGTTCTTGTAACCTCAAGAGTTTTTAATGTTTCACCAAAGTTTGAAATCAATTTGAATCACAAAAAAAAAAAAAATAAGGAATAGTGAAAATTACAAGATGTATGGAAACCTAACTCTGTTAAAAACATGTTAATGATCTAATAACATGCAAGAACTCAAAGATTATATATCAAAAGCACATTACACTATTCAACAAACACTTCATATAGCATGTATTTTCAAATAGATGGAACTTATTGTTCACAAGATTATATGTCAAGAAAACTAATTATTGTTCACAAGACTAGACATCCAAATAGATGGACCAAACATCCATCTAACTCTCTTGGGTTATTCAAGTCCAATAAGTACATATTTCACTTTTTAGTTATATTTCATTAACACCCTTAAGAATAAAAAGTATAAGGAAATAAATTTTTACACTATTTGTTCCAAAAAATACAATGTCAAAATAAAGAAAATATTAACAATAAAAAATATTTATAAAAAAAAAATAAGTTACTAAAAGAGATTCAAAGTTTAATAAAAGGTTAAGTTTTCTTCTTTTGAGTATAATTTACTCCTCTAGACTTTTATCAGATTTGACCTCTTGACATGATGTTATTAAGGCCTCTTATCTCCTAGAAATGCTATTTTTTTAGATGATGAACTAGACATGAGAAATTAACACTCACATCTTTAAATTCATAAAAAAGTAAAAATAGTTTGCACAGTAAATTTCATTTTATTGTAAATTTTTTTTACAATAATCCAAATTTATTCATAATTTTTAAAATGATTATTATAAAAATAATAAATTTTATTTTTTAAAGAATATTATGTATAATAAAACTTATTATTTTTATAATATTCTATAATTGAATTGCACTCAACATCCCACTTTTACATTTTATTTTCTTAAAATACAAAATCCTTCAAAATTTATTAAATTATCAATAAATTACTATCCTTTAAAATTTAAAATTTTCTATATCTGAAATTGATCATATTCTTCTAAATATTTGAATAAAAATATAAATTGGAAAGTTTTAATTAAAAAGATTAGCAGAGAACCAAATGTATTTAAAATTTAAAAATTTACTAGAATAGATTAAAAAAAATTAAGGAGCCAAAATTGTACATGATTCAAGTTAAATAGATCAAAACATAACTCATCCCCAATAATGATGAACTTGGCTGATCTCATCTTTATTTTTCGAGCTTCGTCTTTATCCTCGGGCAGGACTCCTTCTTTCAAGTAACTCCAGATGCCTGCCATCCATCCCAGGTCTTCATTGTCGCTGACGCCGACGATTTTGTCGTCTAGACTGGGCGAGTGCAAGGTTTCCTGGATGATGGTCCGGTGCTGCCCGGGTCTTTTGGTGTTGGCAAGCTTCGATAGGAGGTCTGCTCGGGCGTTCTGCTCTCGCGGCACGTTTTTTATGGTGAATTCGTCGAAGGATGAGATCTGGCGGGACGCAGTGTGAAAGTACCGCTGCAGCATAGTATCCTTTGCCTGGTACGTCCCACTAAGCTGCTCCACCATGAGTTTTGAGTCGCTGTTGAAACTCACTCTCCGAGCTCCGAGGTCGCGAGCTAGCCTCAGGCCTGCAAGAAGTGCCTCATACTCCGCCTGGTTATTAGTCACCTTGAAGCCGAACTTGAGGGATTGCTCCAAGGCGACTTGGTTTGGCCCTTTTAGGATGATACCTGCATCACCACCTTTGGAGTTGGAGGACCCGTCAACATGCAAAGTCCATACCTGGGGTTCCTCGGTGTCGCCACCTGCCCGAAACGGGCTTTCGGCATTCGCGATGGATGGTTGGACTCTTTTATTTGTTTAAAAATATGGATTGCTAGAATGACTTATTCTCAAACTGAGACCTTGTCAAACGAGCAATTTTATTAAAAGGCTCACCAATCCATGTTAATCCCAAGCGGGACCCTCCATGGATTAGCGGTTTTCATAAAAAGGAAGGGTTCATGGAGTCGCCACCAATGTTTTACTCAAAACATTGGAAAAAGAAGTTTAAGGCAATCGATTCAAAAATCGACTTCGGCCATGACAACCAGAGTCGGGTAAGGGAGTCGGTTACAATTTTGTTAAAATTGAACAACAACTTGAAAATATATTTTAGTATATTTTGAAATGTATATATTACGTCAATTTTATTTTATGAAAATAAAATATCAAATCATCTTAGATTAATATAAAATTTGATATATATGATTTAAGAGATATGAACTTTCAATCTAACGGTTGAATTTTTAAAATTAAATTTAATATAAAGTTATTGAGCGGTGTAACACTTAGTAAAAGTTACACCGGTGTCATTTGAACCCTCCTCATATATATATATATATATATATATATACACCACCAAAATCATAAATAAATAAATAAAATCTAAACAAAGAAGGAAAGAAAATTCGGAGGAAAGAACTTATACAAGAATTTTCTTTTGTTAAGAAGAAAATGGTTTAAGTGTCAAGACATATTGTTGCACTTTGAAGAACATTCAAAATTCTACGAATTTGGTTTACATGTCGAGATGAAAAGGAAAAATAGTTGACACAAGGTTCATTTTTATCAGTATAATTAATCTTCAAATTCAATTGAAAAATAGATTCATTGCAGTCACTTGGTCCTTCGCAGTCCTATTAGAGGAATTAGGAATTAGCATATTGCATCACAAAACAAAAGACACAAGTATTTTGTGCGGGAAAAATTGGCGTGCACTTACTAGTTACTACACAACAAAGTGTACCTATAATATAACAAAATATTACTACCGTTATCTCATCCTAAGTTCTCCCGTATATTTTCCTTCAATAGAAAATCTGCATCTGCTATCAGAACACCCACTCCCACTATCCACGGTTTACAAAATGTATTGATGATACCAATCATCAACTCATTTGCTTTCTGTAACCGGAAGGTACACACCTTCTGCAGCCAACCAGACATTGTCAGCACGCTTTTCACGAACACCACAAACCTGGTAAAATATGATATATGACAAAAATGTTAATACTTCCAACACTTTAGTTAATTATAAAATAAAATAGGATCGCTATAAAAATTGACAACATATACCATCACCATTATTCACTGCACTTAATATTCTAAGCAAAAGCTAACTTAACAAAATTATAGCTAGGTAGGTGCCAGCCAAATGGAACACATGTATGGGTCCGATAAACTGAAAGCCATAAGCATCGAACCATGGCTCTTGTGCTATTTTAGAAGAATTGTGGGGTATATTATTAGGATTGAAACTGCCATGGAAAAGGAATTCAGGAATAATTTGGTTTATTCTGATTCTCAGTGTGCTATAAATATGCTGTAAAAGGATGTTGTTATAATCACCAGTGTTCTAACTTGATTAAAGCCATTCATGGAGTTCATCAGTGTGAAGGAAACGTTTAGTGGAATCACGTTTTGCAAGAAGCTAATCAAGTTGCTTACCTACTTGCTGATTATGGAATGAAAATGTATATCAAAGTTATAAAGCTTTTGAGTTTATTCCAGATTTTCTTTGTAATGCCGTTAAGGCGGATATGCTATTGGTGTTTGCTTTCCTAGACGTTTCTAGGTTGGTATGATACATTCCGCTCACCAAAAACAGAAGCATCAAAAATATTATTCGTACATTTGTAGGTATATAAAGCATATAAAATATTATTTAAAAGAGAAAAGACGATTTTCATATTCCAGGCAATGTCTCACCTCTTGCTGCCCCCCAGCAATCCGACTGTATTTCTTATCATGACTATGTAGATAGCCTCCAGTGTCTACATGCTGAAGGCGAATCTTCTGATCCTGCTTCCAAGTCTTCCCACTTCCTTCTATTAAAAGCCTAAAGACAACGAAACCAATATAAAGCACTTTCCAGAAAACTGCGATCTAAATATTCATTTAGAAGGAAGAAAAAAGGGTCTCACCTCCAATAGTCCCCAGTGTCAGACTCAGATTCTCCTCCAAAACAACTCACCTATATTCAATTCAAAATTATAAAGTCAGATATCTAATTTTCAGACAGTCTAAAATAGGACATATTTGAATCAAAATCTTAACTTTAATCAGAAGGTAATTTGAATGCAAAGTTAAAGAGGATAATTAAAAAGATATCTATAATTGCAAAAGGCCATATCTATTATTCTATTTATGTTGGATAGTTCAAGAATTTTAGCAGCGTCAACATTTCTTGCAATGGTCTATAGATGGGGGGAGACAGAGATACGGTAAGATAACTTATAAGTAGCTTTTTTTTCTTTTTTTTTTTATTTTGCACTAGTTTCCCAAGACATCGCCTTAAACCGAAGATAATGTCTTTCACAAAAAAAAATGGGTCTAAGATAATATCCTTAAGAGAGGACACATACATTCAAATCATTATTTAACCAGATTCTAGGTCTGTTATTCAAACATGGGAAATTAAGTTGGACAAATGCTCAAGTAACAAAGATGAGCAGAAAAATAAAAGGGGATGGGTTCACACAAAGCTATGGAGAAATAACATTAAATTAAAGATAAAAGAAAAGGAGTCCACTGGGATGATATATACTGCACATGTGTCAATAGAGATGTAGGACTGAAGCATATAATTTTTGGAAAAAGCAATCGAAATACTCCAGTTTGATTTAGTAAAGAAATTATTGTTAATATGCGAAGAGTTTCATTTATAGATAGTGATTGGTGAGGAAAGGGACGCATTAACACTGCATTAATCCACTAAATAAATGTGTAATATCTAAAATTCCTTAAACATCTTGCTATGTATGATAATAATATTCACAATTTATTTAAAATATCACATACTCTCCAAGAGGGAAATAACAAAAATGAAAGAACCCTTAATTTAATTCCTTGAAAGTTATATGCCTCACCACGTTAGTCCTTTAAAAAATTTTGGTCCTCAAAAAAATAAATAACTTTGCGACCAAAATATGTGAAAAACTATTGGGCAATGTTTCAGTGGCATTTAGCATAGATCAGGGACTTGATCCCTTGCAACTTGAAGCAAAGATGAAACAGTATTTTGAAGTGAAAAATCCAATCTAAGATCTAGACAAAAAAAAAAAACAAAGCACAGGCACGGCAGTGCTGCAACAGAAGGTGCCGCATACAGTATTGTATCAATTACAAACCAAATGCAGAGTCCTTGTAATCAATCACACATAAAAAATAAAATAAAAAAGCAGTAAATATACAGCACAGTGCTACATTAGTTTCTTTACAAGCCTCAGAAGCATTACAGCAATCATCAATAAATTCTAACGCATACATCGATAACAAACAACTAAAAAGCGTACACTCACCTCAAGATTGCCTGATATTGGGGATGCATGCAAGTGGCTGTGCAGCCACTTCCTCGTCCTCATGTGCTGCAATCTAATGATTGTGCCACTTTTAATGGCATCACCTTGTTTGGCAGAAGTTCCTGGCTCAGGTCTAACAATCTGCAAAACAATACACGTATTTAAAGTCAAGAAAGAAACCAAATTCCGTATAGCAAAAATTTTAAGAATTAAATTGAACTACACTAATTTACACTGCTATTAGAATCTTGATTTTTGGAACCCAATAAATGTAAACTCCAGACTGTTCATTTCTCTTAATCTATTTTTCCCTGTTACCTTCTATCACTAATTATACATTCATATTTCATATCTATAACTTATCTCTCTCCTCTTTTTTTTCTATCTCTTCCTATCTATCTCTAGTTGTCTAGACCCAAGGGTTGTCCAACGATCAGTTTCCACTATTTAATTGTTTTAAAACTGTTGACGAATATAGTAATTATTCAAAATTTATATTTAGGACAATTTCTAATTATTGAAAGTGTAAAATTCTTTAGATAACAAATGTATCCAAAACTAAACTCAGATTTCAAATCCTAAACACAGGTAATGCTGCGACCTTAGCTCTCACGTCGATCCAAAACCATCACCTCCTTTTTTTTCATTCACAGAAAACAATTAACATAACAAAAAGAATATTATGAGCAAGGAAATTACCCAGTAACTATTGGCATCGTCGACATTGGGGAAACCCGTAACCGATTGCTGTCCACTACCGGAACCGTAGGGCACGTCATGAGAATGCAACCGAAATTTGGTCTTCTCGTGCATGAGCTTCAGAACCGTGCCGTAAGTGACATGCACCTGTACAATCAACGATGAAGCAGCGATGCAATCAATTAATATTATCAAAAATTGAAGAAAAAAAAAACTAAGATCCCTAACTTTAGAGGAGGAAACGGAAAAGAGAAAACAAAACCTCGACGCCTTCGGAGGACGCGGCGGAGGCGGAGGCGGTGGAAGAGGGAGCGATGTCGGTGTCGAGAGTGAGGAAGAGGAAGAGAGCGAGGGCGAAGAATCCGAGAGCCATTACGAAGAGCAATGCGATGAACCAATTCTGCTGCCAGATCGGGAAATCGGATTCGGAGGGGCTCCTCGATTCCCGGTAAACGATTCGGGTCGACCCGGGTGTTTGTTGTGAAGAAGAAGACGAAGACGAAGACGAAGAAGAAGGTTTTCTTCGGGACAGGTTTTGCGACCCGGAGGAAGCCACGGTTCGACCCGATTTACTATCCAGATCGAAGGAGAGAAAGCATTCAGGTGGATCCTTTGCTTTGTGATGTAAAAATACACGCTCAACTCAACCCCTTCTGCACGCACTGGGAACGACACGGGTATTACTTTCTTCTACACGCTGGAGTCTCGGAGACACGTTACGTGACATATTTTTACCCAATCGAATGTCCACACGTGCCCGTTTGCATGACGTGGATGCCTATTAGTGGCTCAAATTATCTCTCTGACTTTTCATGTAATTGGCCCAGTGTTGTGTTTGGGCTGTTTCATATTTATTTGAAAACATCCTTCATCCGACGTATTTTTAGTAAATGCATTTATTTTAACTAATATTATACTTATACATGCATGTTTATTATTATATAATTAAAAGTTATAATAAATTATATATAAATAAATATTATATTTAAATGTATCAATTTTTCCTTAAAATTTATATAAATATATATTTTGAAATATATAATTAAATTTATGATAAATTTTGAACGAGAAGACTATTGCTTTTCAAAAACACATATTTTATTAATTAAAGAATCGTGTATTTCGTTTATACAATTTATATGAAAGAGCCAAATGTTTTCTATGTAAATAAGACTCAAAATTGATTTCATTATAACTCATCAAGTCAACTTTGTTGTCACTCCCTCCTTTTTTGGTTTTATACATAATCGCACTACCTCTTCCTCGTCAACTTATAATGATCCTTTTGAGCTTAGAGTTTCCTTGACCATAAGCAAATTGAATTGTTAGTTGAAAGTCAAAATTTTGAAATTAATTTGTATCAGTCTATGGAAATAAAAAAATAAATAAATAACCATGTGTCTATAGAAATATTTTTCAAATTTTAAGTAATATTGAAAAAGTAACACAAGAGATTAAAGAATACAAAACTATTTTAAAAGATATTTATATAACATGAAATCGAGTTAATATTGAATTTGGTGTTTCTACATGTAAATTGTTAAGAATACAAAACTATTTTAAAAGATATTTTATATAACAAATTTGAATTAATCCTGAATTTGGTGTTTCTACATTGTTAAGTTTTTGAATACTAATATTTTCTTAAGAGAACATTTTGTTAATCAAACTCATCATAGGAGGGAGGTTAGTCTAGCGCTTGGTTAGCCGATGAAAGTTGTAAGTCCAAAATGAGTGACAATAAACCATGCGGTGATCTTGTCAGGTCTAAGTCTTTAGTTTTAAAATGTCTAGATTAATAAATATGTTATCCAAAGGAAAATAAAAGTTTGATGAAAATTTAATTAATGAACAAAAAGAAGAAACTAATTCAACCATAATTCAACATGAATTAATAATTTCACAAATAGAATACCAAATTTCTAAATGAACTCTTCCTAAGTTAGACATGTCCTCCATGTACAAAACCTTGTGGAATGATATGTTTAGAACCAAATACATTGTTAAAAACGCAAGAAAAATAAGTTGAATTAAAATTGAACCATTAAACCATACCCTTGAATTCTAATTAAATAATTTCAAAACATATTAAAAATTATAGGACACATTCACACAAGATGTATCCAAGTAGCCATAAAACCTTTGTTCAAGCTAGGAATGGATACCCCTATGTTTGAAGCATTAAGAGATTACACGCCTATAAAACTTGAAAATCAAATATTGGCTATGCTTAAAACTAATTTACATCAAGGTTTAATCTACATAAATAATTACCTGAATTATTCAATAGCAATTAAAAGTTTCCATAACACTTCTAATAATATAATGTTAGACATAAAAATGTTGGAAGATGAATGGAACCAAAATTCATTTCCAATTACTACAGTATATAAAATATATTATAAGGTAACAAAAAATCAAGTAGCCTCTGGAGCATTGTTAATGTCTCTAAAAGATGAAACTATTTTACTTATAGTAAATCCATAAAAGACAAATACAACGAATCCTAAATTTTTAAGACATAATAAAATAACTAGTAGTTTAAAATAGAATCTTGAAAATCGTTTAACCCTTTAACCCCTATCATAATAGATGACATAACTTAATATAAATATGGAATAGTGGAAGTAACACTTGCTTCACTTAGGAGATTTATATCTTTTAAAACTCTTGTCTCATTTTTATCAACTTTTAAATTGGACAGAAGGTTTCTAGATCATTCTAATATTACAATACCTCAAAATATTTATTTAAAAGGTATTAAACAATACCTTATAGCCCCAATACCCGAATATGAATATGAAATTGCTAATGCTCATCATTCACCCACACAATCTGATTTACATCAAGATGAAAGTAATAATACTATAAAAAAAAGTTTCAAATAAATAAAGATATACTAAGCCCTAACTTATAGATACTAAAAATAAAGAAAAAAATTTGGTTTTTTAAAACTTTCGGTCAAAAAGAGCTTAAAAATATATAGAAAAAATTATTATTCAAAATTATAAATAATACAGTAAAACACTTCATATTTTACATGGTTTGAAAAAAATTGTTTAAAATAGTTACAAATAAATGTTTTAGGCTCAGCAAAAAAATTTGGAAAACATTTGGTGAAGAAAACACAAGATTAATACCCCTTTAGAAAAGGCTAAATTTCATAGTATACAAAATAAAGTTGTTACTTCTCTTTTTAAAATGATAGGTAAAAAAATAGGTTCAAATCACTAAATAGTTATTAAAGATATTTAGAATATTCATAGTCAATTAAATTATACTAATCAACTACTTCATCAAGTAGCCAATAAAGTAATTTATTAAATATTAAATACAAAAGAACCCCTTAAATAAGATTTAACAAGATTTTTTGGCTAAACCAATAAATTTACAGATAAAGAATATAAAGAATTTAAATTGGGAAATAAATTTTAAAGTATATTAGATGAAATCAATAAAAAATAGATAAACTAAAAATAAGCAAGGTAAATAGCATCCAAAATATACACCTAGAAGAACTAGGCAAAATTTTTGAAGATTTTGACAATCAAACTTAAGATGAAATATTAAAATTACATGGAAAATATTTTCAACCTCCTTTAAATACACCATCATCTATAATTTTTTTATAAAGACCTATCCTACCTAATATTCAATTTAAAGAGTGAAATTTAGAAAGATCGTATATTTTTAATGATAATAGAATTACAAAATAGAATATTGATGATATGATAAACTATCAATTCCTTAAAAAAAACTAATGAAATGGTCATGATTGACTCAACTTATAGAATTAAAAATTTAGAAGAAAAAATTGTTAAGTTACTAACTGTCAATTTTATTGGAGCATTAAAAAGAATAGTGAGATAATTATTTAACTCAAGAGTAAAACTATTTTATCACAACTTTTGTAAAAAAGAAATTGTCAACAAATCCTTATAATGGTTGGAACTTTAATAATAAACCCTAAATCTAAAACTTTAATAATAACAATAATTCATATTTTTACGAGAGATCTAAATATTTTTATAATATCAAATCTTAGGAGATTTTAGGTGATACCTCGATAATTTTATGCTTATGATTATAAAAAGATAAATCATTAAAAAAACTTTTGAAAAAAAAAGGTTTATAACATGATTCCCTCTTGATTTTGCTAATAAGGTAAAAAAAAAAAACCTAAGAGAAATAATAGCTCAAAATTACCTTGATTTTTGCATGAATTAACCCATAACAAAATTATTTCTACTACTGAAAACACCACTTAAAAAAGTTGTAATAACATCAAATTGGAAAACCAGATAAAACATAATAGAGAAAGTGGAACAAAATAATTAGGTAGCTTTTGCAATCAATATGATTATAAAAAATTAACTCCTCCTTCTCATGTTAAAAGAAAAATTAAAAATAAAGATCTCTTTAAAAAAATTATCAAAAATTCCATCACATTTTCGGATGAAACATGCAATCAACCATCAGTGGAAACAATTTATAACATTGTAGACTATTATGAAATATTTGCAAAAAAATTTATTTATATACGTTGTGTGACATGTTCAACCACTGACATATTCACTCAATATTTTCATCGGGTTAATGATCGATATGAGTTTTAAAATACTAATTCAAAACTAATATTTTAACATTTTGATAAAAAAAATTTCTCTTATTTTCATATGTTGCATCATCGCATTATGTCCCTGACACGTCACATTTATCATATTATTTGTCATGCCGTCTGTTAGCGCCACATAAATAAAAAGTTGTTAGATTTGTAATAGATTAAAACTGTGTAATTATGATATTTGATGGATAAAAATTATGTAATTAAAAATAAAGAAATTAAAATCACATAATTCTAATACTTAAAGAATCGTAATGTAAATTTAATTTTGTTTAATAATTATGATATTATTCCAAAAGTAAATATAAATATTTGGTCAATTAAGATAATTATTTTATTTTTTTATAATTTAAATTATTTAATAACACTGAATTAAATTAAGAATAGTTATAAATTTGACCCATAATTGATCCATTTAAGTCCTTTGGGCTTGCTTCAAAGTCACTGTGAAACAACTTATTAAGACGATACAATAACCTCCTTGTCTACCTTAATCTATTATTTCGTCCTTGTATTCATTCACCTTGATTACTGCAATTGACGATTGAAATTCTGAACAAATGATTTTTTTTTATTGGGCTGTATTAAATTTCATATTTGATTTTAAAAACCTATCCAAATTCAATCCAAAACGAACTCATATATATGAGTATACATTTTTATTTATAAATTTTATGATGCCGTTCATCATGTTTATATTTTTACATGTTGTATATTTTTTAAGTTATCGCATAACATACATTTATTCATGAAAATTATAATTAATTAAACATATTTCTTTAAATTATCTGATCTTGACACAAATATAAATATAAAGTTCTGTATATTTAATTTTAAGAATAAATATATTTAGATAGTGACTTATATATACAATTAACTATATAATAACTTATAAATGAGATGAATGAAATTAATTTTATTATATTTTCCATTTTATTTAATATTTTTAAAAGAGAAAAAAATGACAAAGCTAAAATTTGCTTCAATATAAATTATGTTAAAACTCAAATATGTTTTAAGTTTTAACAAATATTAATCTGTCTTATTTTAGTTCATGTA